AAAGACTTTCACTATAAAGATATTTTTCTTGTAACATATTTTTTCTTGTATATTATTTTATTACAATTTATTAAATTTTACTTTTTATTTATTTTTATTTTATTATTTAATATTATATAAAGAGTAAGTTGCAAGAAATATTTTTTATTAAAAATCAAACTATTGAAAATAGTTCGTTTCAAATTAATTTAGAATAATTTTATATATTAGATAATTAATTTTTTATAATTAATGAAAAAACATTTTTATAATTAATGAGAAAAAATTTTCGTCATATTATATTCTATTTAATATTTCTTTTAAAATATTTTAATGTACATTTTAATTTTACAGTTTCATATTATGCTTATTTTATTATTTTTTGAGTTTCTTAGCATTTTTTCTTTTTTGTTAAAATTGTTATTTGCATATTTGCATAATTTTTTAAGTCATATATTATTATGTGTTATTGAAATTTTTCTTCATTTAATCTCATTTTGTTTTATTTTATTTTAATTTTTTTAAATTCATTTGAACTTATTTTATTTTGGTTTATTTTATCTTATTTTATTTTATCTCATTTTAGTTTGATTTATTTTATTTTATTTTATCTCGTTTTATTTATATATTTTATTTATTATATTTACAAGAAACGCCTTAAAAAACTATAAATCAATTTTTATTTAAATTTTAACTCCCACATTCCTTAAAAACTAAAAACAAGCATTGAAGAAATCTCATTGAATAACTGAGCTATTGTATAACAGCAATTTTCACCTTTAACTTTCAATAGCAATAATCATAATCATATCATCATAAAAAAGGTCATTCGTCTTTATTGCATTATTTTTACATTTCTTGCATTAATTCACCCTTTCGCCTTTGTTTGCAATTTTAAACAGACTCTTTAAAGCACCATAAACTGCATAACTAAACCATGAAAATTAGGAGTGAGAGTTAAGACAGGGACAATGTGAAACCGGGCATGAAAATATGTCTAGAGTTGCCATGAAACCTAGAAAAAACTGCAAATGCAAACACAGAAAACGACAACAGTAGGTGAGTTACTAAAATCGACAACAACAATAACAATGAAGGCATTAAATATTATGTAAAGCAACAACACTAACACCCAACACTGGACGCACTATCTTCAGCTATGCAAACACTTTAGTCTGCCTATTGCCTCTTTCTCGCCTCTTTGTCTACACATACATATATGTATATGTTTATGTATATATCAGACGATCATCAGCGTTGTGCGCATACGGGACATATTTCCATATAATTTTTACACTGTTGATGCAACAATTTAACAATTGCATTGTACTGCACCTTTGCGCTCCAAACAAAAGTTGGGAGGGGGATCTAACCAAACCTCAAATAAATCTAAATAAATTAGATTTGCAGAAATGGTAAAAAAATATGATTTTCCCAGCCTTTGTTCGCAAAACAATGCAAAGAAAATGCGTTTGTTGTGGATTTTTTGTTTATCAGGTGCCAACTTTTATCCAACCTGTCGGCCTGAAGCGAAATTCGAATATTGTATCCAAAATATGGTCTCCAAAAGTTAGATCATGCAGAAATCGAATGGAGTAAATTGCCCTAAAAGGTCGGGTCCGTTAAATCGAAATGGGACGAAAAAGGACTTTAAAGATCGATTTATTGAACTTGTATAACTATCTTGATTATTCGCAACATCGTAAACACTGCATAAATATAACCAAAAATACATCTGCATGGATAAAGAAATATCATGCAAGGGTTTTCAGTCATAGTGCTGAGTAGATTCAATCTATCCAATTTTCAGACATTTTTGACTGTAGATTGGGCAACAGTATTCCCTCCGCTGAGCTTATTTGAGTTTTAGTTGACCGGTTATACTGATAGACCACCAGAATACAAGAGAAGTCTGATCCACTTCCAATCGAGCAATGATGAAGCAGCCTTGCCTTCGGTGAAATACGGTTGAAAAATTTTGATCTTTCTATTCCGTTGAACCGGACAATTTTGAAAGCGTTTGCTTTGCTAAGAGGATATTAGATGTCCTTTATGATAAGAGAGTTTGAAATAATAGATAATATATAATAACTATAGATAACTTGATAACTAGGATAAATATCCATTATCTGAAAAGTCTCTGAATGAAATATTTGATGACGTGTTTTTTATGTCATTTAATGTTAAGGAATAAATACTCTCTCTCTCTCGACACTCTCCAATACATATTATTCCTTTTAACTGTTCTATTATTCTTCACAAGAAAATTGTATGAAGTTTAAATTTTCCATTGCTGAATCTTTTTCATAGAAATCAAAAATTTTCTCAAAAAATTGATGTCAAAAGGTTAATTTTTGAAAAATAATAATATATTACTAAAAAAAATTTATAAAATATTAATTAAACTTGTTATATATATTGAAGTCAAAATTCTCGAACGAGTCATCGAAAATAGGACTCAACGGATGGACCATCTGAGACGTAGCCATGGCCAACATTTGAAAGATAAAATCGAAATTAATAATCAAAAAATAATGGCCAAAGAATGTTCTTTTGAACAATAATATACATTCCCCAATAAATTACAATTTTCTTTGTTTGTCTTGAAATGGATCACCCTATATATGTAGACACGAAAAAAATAACAACTTTTAACCTCGTCAACCCAAATCATTTACGAAATTTGTCTCACACCATCACCAATTGATTGACTGGTTGACCGGCTGAAAGAAGCCAACCAAATAAGTCATAGCCAGTCACTGAAAACAACAACACCCTAAAAAAAGAAACAAACCAAAGCTTTTACAGTTGTTCGGTAATTGAATTTAAATTATCTGCCAAAAGTTTTCGTTCGAATATAGACAGACGAAACTACAATAACAATAGCAATAAAGAGCAGATATGAGCTAAAACGCTTACGGGATTTTTATAAATGAAAGTTAAAATATTAAAAAAAAAACACATTTTACAAACGGAAATCGGAGGAAGTGTTGACAGGTAGGGCAGACATGGACTGATGGCTCAAAGACACGAAAACACAACGAAAAAATAAAATCATGTTCATACGCTTTCGTCTTTTGAATTTCGGTAAAATTTCATGAGAAATACACTTTCACCGATAAGGTAAAATACGGTAAAACTATAATTTATTAAACACAAATAAAAAATAACACGAAAAGTATTTTTTATTTAAAAATTTTATAAATAATAAAAATACTTATATATAAAAAAAAATGTATTTTTAACAAAAATATGAGAAGCAAATCGTAGCGCATTAAAGGCTCCAAAAATAATTTTCATTTCACATTTTGTTTATTTCGTGTTTTTTTTTTAATAACTGGACATTTTTATATGAACGCTGAGAGCAGAATTTTTAGAAACGCTTGCCTTGCAAGGTTAAGTCATTACTACGTGACTTTAAGTAAAAATATGGTAAATATATGCTAAAGTAATTGAGATGAGAAACAGTACTACAACGGAAATAGTGGAAAAAAATCTCAAAAACAACATAATAAATTTTATTTAAATTTTTTAATTTGAGAGTCTTGTTTTTTTGCGCGTTTAAGAATATATTTAATATTTTTTATACATGTTTAAAAATATTTTTCTGAATTTATATTTTATTAATCATAGTCAAATTAAATTTTACTTTTGAAAATTAATTTTGTAAGGAAATTGAATAATTTTTAAAATGTGAATAACTGTCATTGAGGTCTTGCTTCTTTGATTAATCAAATACAAAATCAAGAAAACTGTTTTTAAATATTTTATTTAACAGTTATTCATATATAAAAAATTATAAAATATATTGATTTTCAAAAAAAATTTTATTTTATAATGGTTGATATCTCTTGGTAACATGTTAACATTAATTAATGATTACAAATGTAAACTTTTACAAAAAATTGTTATAATCTTTAAAATTACAGACATCAACATCGTTAAACAAATTTAAATTACAAATTAAAAACTTTTTCAAAAATACTACTTTTTACGTTTTAATATAATTAACAAATAAATTTACTTAAGTTATTAGAAATGTAATAAATCAAAAAATGTGCCAAAATATTAAATAAAAATGTTTTCTCAAAAAGTGTATGTACTAAATTTTTAAAAAATAGTTTTTGCTTCTTTAAATTTTTTAACGGAATATTTATAATGTCTGCTATTTCTTTGAAAATTTAGTTCTGTTTGCTTGATTCACTATAAACATAATGCTTTTAATAAAATCAAAAATAAATCAATTTTAGTGAATTCAAACATTGAAATTTAAACAACAATTTAAATTAAAATATTTCAGCGACGAAAATTTAAGATATTTAGAAGCAAAAATATCTAATTTTGTATTTTAAAAAATTTCAATTATAAAGTAATTTATATTAAATCTTAACTTAAATAATGTTCAAACAATTACAAATTAAATTCTTTGCAAAAAAATCAATAAACTATTTTATATATTTTGTAATATAAAGTATGTTTTTCCAAAAAAATAAATAATAAAATATATCTATGCTGAATTGCATAAAATAAATAAATACACAGAAATATTTCTTAAGCTTACCTAAAGACAAAAAAAACATGAATTAGAAAATGCGCAACATGGCGTATACGTAACACATTTTTTTGTTTTTGTTTTCTGATAGCTTGCAATGAAATACATATATGTGTGTACATATAAATACATAGACACATATATGTGGAGTTGCTAAAAACCAGGTAAACACCAAAAAAGCGCCGCGCATAAAAACACAAGCTAATTAAATTTTCGCAGTCATTGTTTTGCCAATTTTTTCCACATTCATTCGCTTCATGCATTTTTCTTGTCTATTGTTTTACATTATACACACACATACATATATATGTATACATACTTATGGTTATGTTTATATTGCATAAAATTTCATAAATTAAATAATAATAAGAACAACATGCACATGCACAAAGCAGCGCATAGAGCACATTACCACATAAACGCTATATGTATACATGAAAGTACATGAAAAATAGGTATGTAAACTCACCACAGTCTGAAGTCTGAAGGCCTGCGCAAAAGTCTCTGCAAAATGAGTTTATGTTTTTGTATTTTGGCAAATTGGCAGTTGAAGGCGAAGTGGCGGCAAGAAATAACACAGAAGAAGATGTATAGAGGACAACGCGTCACGCGCGATTTTCAGCGGAACAACGAAAATTCACCGAAGAAAAATGAAAAATATGCAGTTAAAAAAATGTTTTTCTTTGCGTTGTTGTTTTTGAGTCTGTTGCTCACTGTTTTCTTTTTAGGCTTGTTATTTGTAAATTAAAAATTTTTATTTTTTAAATCAATTTATATATATTTTTTGCACTCCGCGCGAGTTGTTCTTAATTATAAACATAAAATTTCACTTTATTTTCCATAAAGGAGTTCAGTGTGCTGGAATTAGAAAAATTAAGAAAAAAATTGTATTAAAAACATTGTTTTTTTTTTTTTGTAATAAAAATAATTTTAAATTTTGGAATAGAACGTAAAATAAATGAGAAAAATAAAATTTAAGAAATAAAAATACTTAAGCATAATACTGAAAATGTTCAAAAAATTTTATGAAAGAATAAAAAAAGATTAACTTAATAATATTGTAAATAATTTATAATCTCCAACTACCTAAAAAAATTTTGTGTCATATTTTTTTTTTTTTGATTTCAAAATATTTCGTTAAAAGGTTAAATAAAATTTTAATTTTAAGAAGTAAAACAAAATAAGTTTTATCCAAAATTTCTAGTTGAACATTTTCGTTTCAAATTTTTGTCAACGAAAATATGAAATTATAACAAAAAATAAACCCTGCGTAATATCCTTAAATATGTACAAAATATTGCTTTTACTTGCATCTTAAAATTCCAAAAAATGTATTTCAATATTTTTTTTAAAATTTCGCAATTATTTTCCATATATTTTAAATAAATATTTTTTTTTGTGTTTGAAATCTATACATATACTTAATTTATTTGCCTCAAAATCCAAAAAACACATAATATTATTTGGCAAGAATTTAATACACAAATTTTATTAAATATTTAGTTCTCTTATTTTTTAAATATTTTTAGGCATACACAAATATATAACTTTTATTCGAAATCTTTAATCCACAAAATTTTATTCGAAACAAATTCAATTAAAATTTGTATCATGAATATAAAGTTAACACAATTGTTTTATTGTTTTCTTACAGACACACAAAAAATTAATTTTTAGAAAATATTTTTTTTTGAAATAAAATAACGTGATTATTTTGTTTTCAGATACACGACAAATATAATAAAAGTACAATATATATATATTTTTTTTTTTAATAAAACAAAATGTTATTATTTTTTTCTTTTTATATGTTTTTCTGTTTTTAATTTTTTTTTTAATTTCTAAAATGATTTAAATTTTTTAATACCTAAATAAATTTTCATATATTTTTTTTTAATTTTGCATTTTTATTAAAAATCATTTAGTCTGGTATTAGAATACATAAAATATAATTACATAGTATGGTCAATGTTTGTAGTTTGTATTCTTTATATTATATATTGTGTTTTGGAATTCCAATAAATAACCGCTTTTCGTTTGTCTTTACCACTGCATTTTATTGTTATTTGAAGTATCATTTCTATTCGTATTATCATCGCTATATTAAATCATATATGGTAATTTATTGTAAATTATTTGAATATTTATTTGTGGATCTATGTGGTATGGACATATGTGACCCAATTGGAAAAAGTTTATGTAACTGGAAAACATTTGTTTTAAAATTTGTTAAAAAAATCTAGAAAACAAGACAAAACGTTAACTTATGTTACACCGAAGCTATACTACCCTCCACAAATATAAAGAATTCCTTACAAGAACTTGATTCCGATCTTTCAGTTTTTATGGCAGCTGTATGCTATAGTTACCCGATCTGACCAAATTCTTTAGAGATTGCATTATTGTCTTAGATAATAACTCGTGCCAAATTTTGTGAAGATAACTCGTCAAATGAAAAAGTTTTCCATACAAATACTTTCCTCCGATCGTTCAGTTTATGTGGCAGCTATATACAGACGGACATGTCTAAATCGACTCAGCTCGTCACGCTTATCATTTAAAAATATATTTTATTGGGTATCCGATTTTCCTTGTGGGTGCTACAAACATTATGGCAAACTTAATATACCCTGTTCAGGGCATACAAATCACTAAATATATATCTATGAAACAACTAGAAAATATAAATTTTTCGAATTTAATTGATTAAAAGAAAATTAAAAAAAAAATCGTTAATTTAATTTGCTTTTTTTATAAAGATGTCGCTAAGAATTTATTTAAGTAATTACCAAATTTAAGTAGTAACCAAACACAACATCATCAACAATAAGAATTAACTACTTAATTAACAACTAAAATTTTTCAAAAACTTTAGATGTATATTAAAAATATATTATATATATATCGTCAAAATTTGGAAAATTAATAATTTATAATAATTTGTGGGATTAAAGCAACAAAGAGTAAAATTACTTTTAAATGTTTTTAATATATATAAAATTTGTATATATATTTTTATTTAAAATATTAAAATTTTTTTTTAACATTTAATTCTTCTTATTTATATACTCTTGATAAATAGAAAATGTATAGGTGATTATGTCACATTCAAAATAATAATTTACGCCTGTTGGCCTTACTGTGATTTCCTACAGTGCACGTCAAACAATTTTAACCGTAAATATGCTTAACCATATATCATACGATAAACAAATGCCTCACAACACACATTTACTGATAAATCCAACTACAGCATTGCTATAAAAAATAATTTCAGCTTTGTAGAAACGTGCATTCAATATAGCGTTTATAATACCGAACAATATCCACATACCTTTAATAATTATAAGCATATATATATATACATATATACTTATAATCGATAGATATGTACAGTTAAAAATATATGTACGAGTATTTATAGCAATTTTTGTATTCAATATTGCCACAACACGTTTTTGCTTCTTCCCCTTCCTGCTGTGTGTGCAAAGCGTTGCAGTGATTTCACCAGCTGTTTCATACGTTCGCGTTCTCTCACTCACTCGCTCTCATTGTTTCTCTTTCGCACGCACATCTACTATTATTAGTTTAATAAATTATTTTTCGATTTTTTTTCTATGTTGCTATTGTATTTGCAACTAATTTATGCAGTTGTTGTTATTGTTGTACAATAAAATTTTCATTGACACGCAAAACCAGTTGGAGCAATAGCTGCAATCACAATGCAATATTCAAAGCCAGATAAATGTATGTGAGTATATCTATTTTGTAATTTGATAAGTTGGTGTAGGGTAAACTATTTTTATATAGTTTAAAGGCGGATTAAATGAAAAAATGTGTCAAAGTCAGTTTTATAAGAAGAAAACAATATTTGTCATCGAAAAACTCAATATATTGTTCTTTCTTTATATTTAAGCCTTTAGACCAGAAATCTCTTGATGGGTACCTACAAATTGGTATTCTACAAGTTTTGAGATGCCTCCAAATGACTGAAACATTTTTGTATAAGTCGCGAGTTTCAGTTTTCGTGTTTAGGAACATCTGCAAAGTCTGCTCATTAAAGGGTTTAAAAGTCACCGAGATTAATTTGTCATTTTTTATAATCTTAACAGGGTATATTAAGTTTGCCACGAAGTTTGTAAAACCCCTATAAAATATACATATATGAATGATCAACCTGACGAGGTAAGTCGATTTAGTCCGCCTATACGAACTAGTCCCTCAGCTTTTGAGATATCACTATGAAATTTTGCACGGGTCCTTTTCTCTTTAAGATTTTGCTCATTTGTCGGAACCGCCGATATCGGACCGCTATAGCAAATAGCTACCATACAAGCTGAACAATGAAAATTATGTTCTTGTATGAAAAATTGTTTCATTTGAAAATTCTCAGGTCGGAGCTTTATAGCACATAGCTGTCATACAAACTGAACGTTAAATTAATTTCTGGTATGCATTGTTTTTTTATTTGACGAGAAGATAATTCGACATAGATTATTACCCAAGGCAACGCTACAATATCCGAAGAAATTTTCTAGAGCGGACTTCAATATGATATAAATGTCATACAAACTGAACGATCAAAATTTGGTTCTTGTATAGAAAGATCTTTATTTGTGAAGGATATTCTAGCTTCGGTGCATCCGCTTTTTCTTGTTTTGTATTATTGTAGTTCCGCGATGGTACCAAATCAAAATTATTAACAATGAATTCGAGGTTACTCATTTGCTTTAATTTTAAAACAGGGATATAAAACCAAAAAAATTATTAAACACTGAGTTATAACAAATAATATAGTATAGTAAAATAGAAATCGAAAAATACCTTAAACTCGAGTCTAACAACAGAAACATTTCACATCCAAAAATAATTATAACTTTTCATTGGGTTTCATAACCCTGTGGTCAGAAAATAAGGTAGAGGGTAGATATGAGTATTTTGGAATATGCATATAAAATATACTAATCTATGAGTACCGTATGTTAGACGCTTAAAAACAGTAACACCACTCTAGTTTATTCTTAAAAACCTGTCTGAGAATTATAAAAAAATTTCACCAGTTAATGCAATACTTAGTCAAATATGTCTCATTCAATTTAGTTGAATATTCTGCTATTAATTCCAAGAATTATACAACAAATTTGCTAAAGAGCGAAATTGTGGAATTACTCATTCAAATACCATCGAGCTGTGACATATTAAACAAAAACTGACCACAATTCTATACAATTAACTGAAAACTGTAACCACAATGAGGTCATTAAATAAAATGAGTTTTAAGACTCTAACACACTGATTTAATATTTTGGAATCTATAGAATTTGTGTCCTTATATTATAATGATGACCTTTATTGAACTTTTATAGGACTCTGCATCGTATAAATGAATGTAGAGATGATAAGGATTGTCTATAGCTTGCTAGAATTTATCAATTGATGAAGATTATAAAGAAATTGTTATAATGTTACTAAACGTGAAACATTCAATGTTCCTTCATATTCCAGCAGAATGGCTTAATTCAATTCTATTAAAAATTTATATGAAAAGATTGCCAAGTACTTAGAACACATATAATAGCGCTAAAGCATGCTAATAATATAAAATCATTGTAACCAAAATAACTTTTTATGTGGGCTTTATACTCAAGTTAGTAGGCTAGGATATGAGGTCGTATTTTCCAATAGCACACGAATGAACTCGCCGCAGACAACAGTGAGAGTTCAATCAAAGGGTATGAAAATTTAATTAAATCGTTAAGGAAAAGAAAATCAGCTGCATAATTGCAACATTTGTTGCTATGTAAAACAAATACAATAGCTAGTTGATAGCAAAGAAATCAAAAAGAAAAAAACAACAA